GTGGAGCCTGAACCACGGCGGGTGATATGCATTCCTCAAAGGACTGCCTCTTGGTGTCTTTCTGTGATGGGCAGTCGGTTTGACTGAGACGTTTCTGCTCCGTTTTCTTCGTGGGTGTTGGGTTTCAGTCGTCGTTTTGGACAGCAGAGTTTAGGTCCGTTGCTGCTCCTGGTGTTAGGCGCTGAAGGCGACAAACACCGAGTGATTAAACACCATCAAAGTTGGAATATTAGCTCACTTAGCTAATGTTTAATGCTCTAATTAATTCTGAACCCTGCGAGCCAACATCAATTTATGTGATCGGTACTTTACAAAGTCACACAGAGGTTTTCTACTGTTTTCAGGTGTGTGTGTGCTTAAAATCCTTCCATATTAATTAAAGTGATACAGAGTCAGATTGTGATTAATGGGAATTCCACGCTTCAGTTTTCATGTTTTTATTTTTTGAGTCTTTTGTTCTTCAGGACATTTCTGCACCTTTCACAATAAAAGATTTAATCTGTTTTACATTTTTGAGCCGGAGGTTCATTTAATACGTTCAGGGTTGACAACAAGGTCCTCTGGACTAAAATACACAGAGAGCACTTTTTAATGACTTCTTCTTTTTAATCAAGAGATCAAGCTAACACCGGTTCACTGCCTTCTAGTTCTGCAACAGTTCACACACTTTAAGCTTTTCACCCACAAAATGATTGTGGCGTTACATTTATTTCTGGTTTAAATGTACGAAAAATACTAAAAAACTTTATGAAACCAAAGTATAATGACTACACAAGTAAATTTTTAATAATTCATTGCAACAGTTTTTATTCTTTGGAACAATGAACGACATTAACATGCCTCACATTTACCTGTAAGGTAAAGGACCCCATTTGGTGTCACGTGACCTCATCGGGGTTGTGGCCTTAGCTTTGGGAACCTTTGACAAATTGAGGTGATTTCAGCAGGTCTACGGTCCCAGGTTTGTGGGTCATGTTTGAACCCTGAACTTTGAAACGTCACATTTATCTCACAGCTGATGAGTTCGAGCAACCTGACGATAAGGCTAATGCTAAGCTAACTCTCTGCCCCAGGACTGTGTTGAACTTTCATGTGTACGAGTTGTTTACGTTGAATTACAAAAGTAATCTTCCCAGTTATCTGGGAATCTTCACAGTTGTTTCCCACCGGATGCCTTTCCAGTCACAGACTGGACTCGATCCTGCGGCTTCAGGTTTACAACACTGACCACCGAGCCGCCACAGCCACAACATCGGATGAGTGAAAATTAAAAGTTGACACTGTTGGAAACCATTCATTTAAAAAAAAAAAAAAAGGTTTTGTAGTGTTCAAATGACCGGATGAGCCTAAACATCAGCGGATGTTCATTGGTCTTGGTGCAATATTTAACCGGTTATTAGTTGGAGGCGTGAACGTTTGCACTCCCTCAGCTGCTTAAAGAAATGGTCGCTGCTTATTTTGCAGTAGTTTGTGCGATCAGAGCTGCTTCCATCATACGTTGCAGAAGAACTGATAAGACGGGACGGACTCGTATAAACAAACAAGTGCTGCGGTTCTGGCATATTTGGTCCCATTAGCACAATGTTTCCTCTCTGCGTTATCACCAAATGTCTTTTAGTCATTCGTCACTCGATGTCCTTGTCTGCGAAGGATGGGGGGTTGAAACGATAACGTCAGAGTCTCTCCTCTGTTTTAATAAGTTTTATCTGAAGAGTGTGAGCAGACAAACACCAGCAGAACTCATCCAGATGAATATTTCACATGCAGGTCACCAACTCATCACTCATCGTGTTTTTGGTCCTTTCTTACCGTCGAGTCCTTCTGCTCGGAACAGAATCCACCTGGATTCAATTCAACGCAGTTTATTTATATAGCATCAGGTCACAACAGAAGTTGTCTCAGGGCACTGAACAGAAACATTCATATATAAAAATAATAATTTAACATTATTTATCTGAGGAGCAGACTGCTTTGAGTTTTACTCCATCACAGAACTCTCATCTTGAGCAAGCATGAAGGCGACAGAGGAAAGGAAAACTCCCTCATGAGGAGGAAACCTTTAGTAGAACCAGGCTCATATCAAGTGGCCGTCTGCTTCGACCAGCTGGGTTTGAGAGGAACAGATACACAATGGCAGGTCAAGAATCACATGTTGCCCCCTCACTTCAGAGTACGTCCCATCAATCAGAACCAGCACAGATGACACGAGGGGATGTTTGTTTTTTAGTTGATGATGGGAGCAGCACGATGGCACAACTGGTACAGCTGCTGCCTCTCAGCGAGCAAGTCCCTGGTTCAAATCCCGGTCCGGGGGCCTTTCTGGGTGGAGTTTGCATGTTCTCTCCGTGCATGGGTGGGTTTTCTCCAGGTGCTCCAGTTTCCTCCCACAGACCAAAAACATGCATGTTAGGCTGATTGGTAACTCTAAATTGTCCCCAAGTGTGAGTGAGAGAGTGAATGGTTGTTTGTCTCGTTTGTTTCTGTGTCCCTGTGATGGACTGGAGACCTGTCCAGTGTGTACCCCGCCCCTTGCACAGTGATTGCTGGACATGGGCACCAGCGACCCCCGTGACCCAAAAATGGAAGAAGCGGGTAAAAGATGATGGATGTATGGATGGATGGATGATGGATGGATGGATGGATGATGGATAGTTGATGGTGACACACAAGATTGGAAATAGGATGATTAAATAAGCAGCCAAAGTTTAAATAAAGACCTTAAGAAACCGTGAAACTGTTGATCCAGACCACTTTAAAGGATCCCAGGAGAGTCTGGACTACAGGGATGAATTCAACAGTCGTTTCAAAGTTCAGCTCTGAGGATCAGCCGCAGGCACAAACCTGAAAACTTCACCCGTCTTGATCAAACTGCTGCTTCCTCCTCGTTTTGTATCAGAGCTTTTTATTGTCGGAGTCACCTGAAGCGCCAGATGGTTTGTTACAGAGAAACATCTGGAAACTTCTCCACAGAAACTGTTCGGGGAAAGGGCAGCCATTTCCAATAAATACTTGGCAGCTGATTGAATGAAGCATCTGTCCATCACCGTCCCAAGTGAACTTCAATTAATGACGGGAAGCCAGCGGCGCTGCAGTCGGAGAACCGGAGCTGCCATTGTTGATTGTCTTCACATCTGCAGCTGTTAGTGGGACCAAACTTTGGACCTTCAGCCCAAGACGTTCAGGCTGGAGAGATGGACTTCCTGTTGTCCCGTCCACAAAGACTCAGCTGAAAGGATTAAAGGAGTAGAATCCATCTTTTTGTAGATACAACATTGTTTACATGTAAAAATTTAATTACCAGACTTTTTGTTTTCTACCAGTTTTTGTTAGAAAGATGAAGAAATTAAAGTTCAGACAGTTCATCCAACATTTTCTTTTTGCTGCTGAGGAACCGAGCAGGTGTAGAAAGAGCCTTCAGAGCACATGGTAGGAACCACTTGCAGCTACTACCACACCAACATTTAGCTCAGTATCTGTACAGTAGGCTACGTTTGTGTTTGCTACAGTTGATCAGCTGTGGCGGCCATCTTGAATCCGTTCCAAAGGTTTATTAGTTATAGATTTACATCTGATTACTTTTAAGAGTTTCATTAAAACTGTACCTTAAGGCTGTCTGAGTCAACGGTCAATCCTCTGTCTGTTTACTGACTGTCCAGCAACTACCTGATAACACCACCACTCCGCCCTGTGATGACGGCTTGTTGCAAACAGATCAATTTACACCCATCCCTGGTTCATGGCCCAAACTCCGTCCTCTACACAGAAACACACGCATGTCCTAAAGTGTCACTAATCTACAGTCAGGTGTGTGTTTCCAGGTGTGTGTGAGCTGATTTTGTTCCAGTAAGCGTCTGAACGTCTCTATTGTTGCGTCGGTGTAATTAGCTCCACCAGGGCTTCATGTTTAATAGTTTTGCCAAGTTTTAATTGATTAAAAGTCTGTGTTATTGCAAGGAAGAACAGAGCAGATCCAATTAGCAGTGTAACATGTAAACATGCACACTAACTCCCATAGTGCCTGTGTGTGTGCGTGTGTGTGTGTGTGCACGTGTGTGTGATTCAGTCATCAGCGTCATTTCTTAATCATTACTTTCTGCTCCAGATGAGACTTTATGAGGGAACTAAATTGCCTTAAAGGGATTTCTTATTAAAGGGATTACATCCATGTAATCCCTTTTGTCCCAGTGGACCCCCAAAATCTCCACAACACACACACACACACACACACACACACACACACACACACACACACA